CATTCCTTTCTAGCTTTTAGGGTTTATGCTGAGAAGTCTGATGTTAGCCTGATTGGGGCTCCCTTATAGGTGATTTGATGCTTCTCTNGGGCCTCTCCGGGAAGCCTCCTCTCTGGTCAGCTTGGACTCTACTAGGCTGCTGGATCTCGCCCTGCCGGCCCCACAGGGTATGTGTGTTCTGCTGAGTTTCCACCTCATTATCCAGGTGTTTCCCCACTCTGTGAGCACTAGGTGGGGCTGTTGAACCTTGCAGGGGGGGCCCGCAGGGTGTGTATTTTTTTTTGCTGAGTCTCTGTCTCCTTTGCTGGACCCCTCCCCACTCTGTGTGCTCAGTACAGTGCTGGGCGTGTCTTCTGCAGTCCTCATCTATCAGCCAGGACTTCAAGCCTGTGCTCTGCCCCGCCCTGCCCAGGAAGGCTTTCAGGGTTCTGGTAGGTACGCTCTGAGTGCTTTTGTGGCCCTGCATAAGGCCTCCTCTGGGCCTCTCACTTTCCGCCCGGTACTGTGGCTATCTGTGTAGTTGAGTTATCTCCTACACCCGGGTGTGAGCTCCTTGGGGGAAGATCCCACACACACAGTTCCTCCTTGTATCCCCGCAGCACGGGCCGACCCGGGCACCCACTGGCAGTCAGCTCTCCGACAGGTTCAAGCGAGCTCGAGAGTGCTCTGGCCTCACCTCTCCCAGCCAGAAATCAGTTTGGGGTTCTTCCGAACTGATGGCCACAGAGATGTTATCTGTCTCCCGGAAACAGGAAGTTTACCTGGGGCCGAAGCCCAGGGTGTGGTGGAGTGACAATCTGGGTGGGCTCCTCCTCCTTGCCCACCCGACGCTGGCTGGGGCCTCCCCCCACCACCAGTCCTGCCAGAGATCCACAGGGGGAGTGGGATTGTAGGCCGGTCCGCAGGCCCCGGGGGGCCCCGCGCCCAGGCACGCAAGTAGCTTGGCTCAGTGAGGAGCCATGCCAAGCAAAGAGGGCAGGCCAGGCTGATCCGAGCCAGCTGGCTCCACCCCTACCCGAGAAAATGGAGGCAGCGCTAGTGCCGATGCCTAGCCTGATGCGGTAGGCCGGAGCCGGGTGGGCGTCTGCCCCGCAAGCGGGGCTGGGCTGGGGGTCACTCACTGAGCTCACAGAGCTGGGCCGGTCCAGCGCCTTACTCTATGTTTCTGCATCTTTCTTGGCCTTTGTTGCCTCGGGCTGCTCACTCGGTCCCGCAGCGTGGCTTGGGCACTCTCAGGAATCTTCTTTTGTGTCGGCCCTAAAACCTCGAATCTGTAGTTGCTTTTTTGTCATTGTAGATTAGTTGATCAATGATTTATTCATTTTTTTTGCTCTTGGAAATGCAAGTAGTACTCTGGCAGCACAGCGCACACTTCTCAGGCTCGTGCTGTCTTCTGGCATGCCCGCTCCAGACCCATCGCCATCTTAAACTCGGATCTAGCTTTTTAATCCAATCAGCCAGTCTGTGTCTTTTGAGCAGGAATATTTATACATTTACATTTAGGGTTATTATTGAAAGATATTGTCTTACTCTTGGCATTTTATAAATTTTCATTTGTTTTAAATATCTGTTGTTCCTTCCTTCCCCTTTTACTGTTTGTTTTTGATGGTGTTTTTTTGTGGTGGCAAGTTTCTTTCTGTTTCTGATTTATATTTTTGTTCTACCAGTGGTCTTAGTTCTTTCATGTGTATTTGTGGTAGTGATTATCTTTTTTTGATTCCAGATGCAGGACTCCCTTAGGATTTCCTGTGGGGCTGGTCATGTGATGGTGAACTCCCAAAGTTTTTGTTTGTCTGGAAATACACTATTTCTTCCTCATTTCTGAGGGATAGCCTTGATGGGTATAGTATTCTTGGCTGGCAGCGTTTTTCTTTTAAATATATCATCCTATTTTCTCCTGGCCTTTAGAGTTTCTGTTGGGAAGTCTGCTGTTAGTCTGATAGGGGCTCATTTACAGGTGACTTGATTCTTCCATCTTGCTGCTTTTAAGATTCCCTCATTGTCTTTCAGCTTTGCCAATTTGACAATAGTGTGTCTCAGAGAAGATATTTTTAGAATCTATTTGTGTATGTGTCTTTGATTCTCCTGGATCTGAAGGTCCATGTGTCTCCCTATACCTGGGATGTTTTGTTATTTTATTGAATAGAGTCTCCATGCCTTTTCCTTTCTCCTCCCCTTCTGTAACACCCATAATTCAAATGTTTGTGTGCTTAAGGTTGTCTGCTGGCTTTCGTATATTTTCTTCATTTTTCAAAATTCTTTTTCTGTCCACCTGGGTTATTTTGAAAAGACTAACTTCAAGATCAGAAATTCTTTCTTCTGCTTTTTCTAGCCTGCTGCTTAAGCTCTTAGTTGTGATTTTTATTTCATTGAATGAATCTTTCAGTTCCATGAGTTCTGCTACATTCTTTTTTAAGGTATTAATCTCTTTGTAAATTTCCTCCTTCAAATCTTGGATTTTTTCCCCATTTCATTATGTTGTCTAACTGAGTCTTCCATATCTCATTGGGTTTCCTTAATATTGTTGCTTGGAATTCCTTTTCAGTCATTTCAAGGATTTCCTGCTCTATGGAGTCCGCTATGTGAAAACTACTGTATTATTTTGGTGGTGTCATATTTTCTTGGATTTTCTTATTTCTAGTATTCCTACATTGATGTCTGGTCATCTGGTAGAGCAGTTGCTTCTATTGCTTTGGAGTGGGCTTGGAGGAGAGAGACAGTCTCTTCTTTTTCTGCTCTCTGCTGGTGACTCTCCTTGTGTCAATGTACTCACGTGTCTGGTAGGCTGCCTGCACAGTGGCTGTGGCTACTACTGTGGTGTTGAGCTGCTTTTGAAATAGTCATTGCTGTTGTGGTGGCTGTGGTGGGCCACCTGCACAGAAGTGGTGTTTTTGGCTTGCCCCTGCCTGCTGCCATGTGGGGGATGCTGCCCTTGGCTCCTGTCTAGGACTCTGGGTGTGCTTCTGCCTGCTTCCAGGTGATGGGTGCTGCCCTTGGCTCCTGCCTATGACCCCAGGAGTCATAGTCATTAATGTTTCTTTTTATCCTCAGAGGGCTTTTTTTT